AGTGGTGGCGGAATAGACCGACCAGATAGCTGGGCATTAAGAGATGTAGGTTCTTGAACAATGTAATTGGTGATGAATGAAGGTATTAGTGCGTCACATGGCGAGTGCTTATGGAATTAACCAAATAGAAATTTTAATAATGTTAAACGATAAAAAAATAAAAATAAAATAAAAAATCATATGATAATCATTTTACCTCCCCGTTCATTCCGGCGCGTCCATTGCTTTCCACCACAATAGACATTGCCTTGTCAAACCATCTGTTGTGACAATTCAAACCATAGAAAACGTTGCACACCCATTTATCTAGATCCATTCCGGTTGCATAGTCATCTAAACTGATAGCAAATAATGCATTCTCGATCAAGGTCAGGGTCTCGCGGTTTTGTGGAGAAATAGAGAGTAGGCGTTCGCGTGCCTGTAATATAAATATTGTTATTATTGCACAAAAAATGGAATTTCGAGTTATCCGCTTTGCCTTTTTATCATATGGACAGAGTTACCATGTCTTACCACAGTCCATGAATCACGATCGTCAGCAGTAAGAACACCAACCGGGGGATCGAGTTGTGCCTTTTCAACATCGGAAACAATGTCCCAAAGTTGCCTTTCATAATAACATTAAAAATCGCATGATTTCCTGTTAATAAAATTGTTCAAAGTTTAATATACCAAGATACTTACGCTTACCTCTCATAATCGCCATCACTCAATCGTAAGCCGCTCTTGTCATAGCCTTCCAAAATATAGAATTGATCCCTTACCATAACAAGGACGTGTCTAGACACAACCGGATGTGGTGTGAATGGTAGGGCATCACAACTGTGCTGTGGAATTCGAGTGTATCCATAGAGACGTGTATATTGGTGCATACACAAGGGATAAGCGCGTGTAACATCAGGTGGAATCCGTTCACTATGGAAGACGAAAATTAGATGTTCCCTCTTTTTTAAGACAATCTATTGATTTCTTTACCTGTCTAACAAATCCTTATACTCCAACATTTTACCAATGAGATGCGCCGATCTTTTAATTTGAAATTCAGAAAATTTTCCCCTTGAACGAATACCATTGTTTGCTGTAAAGTATTCACGTGGTGTGTTTGCGTCGTCGATGAACAAGAAATACCAATTTGAATTAACGGCCAAAGATACCCTCCATTCAAGATACGCTTTTTTAATCCACCAGGTATCATCAAGCCAATTATGAGGCGCAATTCTATCAACATCCAATAGTCTTTGTTGTAGAACTTTACCTAAACCATTAGGCTTGAGAAAATCCTTGGCATAAGACTCATTACGAGCAAAGTCAGCGTCGGAAAGTAAAGGGCGAAGGGATTTCAAGTATTTTGCAATCGTCTCTTCCAAACTTGGAACTGGAAGTTTTGGCAATTTATGCTGATTACTAAAAGTCTTGTGTTCGGGTATCCTTTGACTCGCCATTTTAGTTCACTAATACCGCAGTACGTAATCTCATCTCGATAACTTGTACTCTTATAAATTGAAAATTTTGTGTTCTCCGAAATACTCCGAAAAGATTTAATGAATTTTTATATTTATATTTTAATATACTGTATATACAGAATATACAATGTGTAACAAAAAAACTTGCATTAAATTTTTTTTTATTTAAAAAAAAATCACATTTGAAAATTATTAAATATAAAGAATAATTTTTATTAAAATTGATTTTAAAATTATTAATAAAGTTTTTTTAAAAAATAAATTTAAAATCTTTTTGTATCAAAAGCAAAATCAGATATAATATATATATATATAATAGCAATTTTTAAAAAATTTATAAATTAATAAATAAAAAGCTTATAATAAAAATTATTTTATTAGTTTGAAACTATTTATATTTAAATTTATATTTAATTTAAATAAATATTTATTAAATAATAATAATAATAAAGAGTACAAGTTTTTTTGTTACATACTATATAGAATAAAGTTATATTAAATTATTATATTAGTTACAAAAAAACAAATAAAAATATTAATCGAAATTAAAAATATATAAAAATTTTTTGATAACAAAAATCAAAAAACTTATTTCTATTTATCTTTATTTTATTAAAAAATTTTATTTTTTAGAAAACCTTTTCTTTTTTCTCTTTTCAATTTTCTTATTTATCAAAAAAAAAAAAAATACAAAATAAAAATAAGTTTAAAATAAAACTATACTTTATATATTATTAATATTAATAGAATTAATTAAATTATTATTAAAACATATAAATAATTAAATTATAATATAATTGTTTTTGAGAATTTTAAAATTAAATTAACAATAAAATAATTTATATTATATACTATATATAACTTGTAACTTATAAAATTCCATAACTAATATATTTCAGTATATACGTTTAATAAAAAATTAATGTTTACCAAAAAAAAAATTCTATAACTGAAAAAAAAATTTTTTTCCATACATAACTTTTTTCTTAAAATTTTCCTTTTTTGGTAATTTTCTTTCAAAATTAAAGAAAAAAATATTTTTTTTACCTTTTAATATCCTAAAATTCTTTATATATCTTTTATATTCATTACAAAAACCTCAAGAAAATTAAAAAAGTATATCAATACATTAAGATAAAATCTCTAATAAAAAAAATACAAGTTTGGGGCCCTTGCTTTTTCTTTGAATTGCATAAGAAAAAATCCATGACAGTTATTTCTTTATAAATCTTTCTTGATGTTCTTTCTATTTTCACTTCTTACAAATACATATTTCTTATTAAATAACCATAATCTTTTTTTAAAGATTTTCTTTGCAAATTAAAAAATCAAACCATATATTAAAAATATTTATATTGTTGACTTGAAAGATCAGTAATATATTTATTGTTTACTTCTCACTATTGCTTAGTATAATTTGCTGTATTACAAAAAATAATTTTTTTTCAAAAAAATTTTTACAAAAAAATATTTACTTCTGTCAACTAATCAACATATCAAAACCAACTAATCAAACATTACCAATTATTCAAACAAATCTGTACTATCAAAACATTATACACTAATCAATATAAACAAAACCTTTTTCGATAACAATTAAACAAATTAACTATCAAAAAAATATATTGTCAACACTACTGTACACTTTGAACAGTAGCCTGGCTATTTATTATAAATACACATATACTGTACTTCAATTAAATGGAACTACTAGTATAATATGCTTATTTAGAGCATTCTTAGCTTTACAATTAGTTTTTTTGCATCTATTTTTTTGCATAGTATTTTATTTCTTTTTCATTTCTTATAGTCTTTTTATATATAAATCTAAGTAAGTATTCATAACTGCTTAGTACTATTTTTAACAATATATTGATTTTAATATTTCTTTTCCTTTACAATTTAGATAATTTACTATAAGCAAGCTAGCATTTAACTCATTGATCAATTGATCATATGAGAGATGTTATTATTTTCTTCATGTATAAATTTTTTATAATTTTATAATTATAATAAAATAATAATGTTTATTTACTTTAAAAAATAAAATAAAATTCTATAACTATTTAATAATATATATAATATTTAAAAAAGTTATAAATAAATCTATTTTTTTTTAATTAAACTTATCTTTTTTTCTATAAGATTTAATAAATCTTTAATTATTATAAATAATTTTTTTTCAATTTTCTTTTTTATTACAATTATAAAAAAATTTTTTTTCTAAATTTATTATTATTATTATTATTATATATTTTCAATATTTTAAATAATTATACTCTTTATTATACATGTTGCTGAAATTCTTAGATCTTTGATGCAATTGACGCAATTATTTGACGCAATTATTTGAGTCACTATTAAAACATATAAATAATTGAGTCATGACGCAATTATTTTTGAGGATTTTAGAAATTGAGTCAACAGCAAAATAATTTACACCACATGTATACTCTTTATCTAAATAAAATTAATTACTTTAATATAGTTTAAACAAATATTATTTTATTTTATTTTTTAGTAAATAAATATTATCTTTTTATTATTATAAAAATTTTAGATTATTAGACCTATGGTCTATAGTATAGTGATAGTACTCTATAAGTTACCAGAAGAAGGTCTAGGATTCAAATCCACCTGATTACAAAAATTTATCACCTTTATGATTGACTAACTGGCTTCCAATTCATGTAGTACCTAATTAGCTGATAATCTATTTTCAAATTTAGTTAGGCTGCATAAAAATAAGATCTCTAATCTTCCTGACGATCATAGGCTGAAATCAGGTCGAAGTACAAAAGATTGCATAAAGAAAGGCTTCTGGTCTAAGGATCCTAATGATTCTCTTTGATTCTGTATTCGATTCTCAAGTTTATATTAAATTTAATAGGTGGAGTATACCCCATCATCATTTTTAATAGTGTTCCGAACCTTATGCAATTCTGTTCGATTCTATTCGATTCCAATTTTTGGAACTATATTCTGGTCTAACTCTGGTAAAAGTCTACTCTAACCTAAACTAGCAATGACAAACTCCATCACTTAATCTCAAAAAAAAAGTTAATTCTAAGCCATTCTATTTCAATCTGAAGCTTGTAAATCTATTCCAATAGTAATGTTCTATGAAACTTAATCATATGACTGAAGGGCAAAGTATCAACCACAGGTGGTGAGAAGATTAGGCAAAAATCGTTAAATCAAGTGCATCTAGTGAGGACCTACAAGTAAGGATGGGTCCCTAAACTATTTAGCATATAAAATTTTACAGATCAATTATGTCCCTTCAAAAGGGACATACTGTAATTATTTATTCATTACTTTAATAGGGACATAATTCAAAAAACACTTGAATCAAGTGACCTAAATTGCAAAAAACCTTTATAGGTAGTTTTTTTTTAACCTTATATTTAAAAAAAAACTTTTTTAATAGTGAGGGACATTTGAATTATGTCTTCGCCTTTAATTTAGGAACCCATCTTTATCTACAAGATTAAATCAGAATTCAAGTAAGGACGCCAGTTCCACAGGTGATAAAAACAGTAATACTATGTTATGCTAGTGGTATATTCTGAGAATCAATAATAACAGTGACTAAAATACTGAAGTTAATCTCTATAATAATATTTCATAACATGTCCTATCCATGATGGATGCAGTCAAGACTGGACCTAGTAGGTTAGGTGATTTAAATTAGTGATAAAATTTTCATCTCCTATATAAGTCACACCTGGCATGTAAATTATCTACTTGATGTTTAAAATTTTGTATAATTTAATATGTCAAAGTTATATACAATAATCATGTTAACTAGTAATAGTTAAATGATATAATATTAATCTTCATCAAAATATCAATAGAGTAGAATGTTTAATATAATGACGAATAACTTATGTTAATAAAATGTCTTGTATTTAATGCTATTTACAACTTAAAAAAAAAAATTTTTAGATTATTTTATATGCAAAAAATAACCATATCTTTTACATAATTAATTAATATATAAGTCTAATATTAGCTTATCTATAGAAACTATTTAAACACAAAAAAAAACTCTTTCTCAATCGCATCAAAATTACCAAATTAGGAAACACTCAAGAAAACAAAAATTTCGTCTCAAG